GCCACCCTCCCAAACTAACCTTCCAGCCGATGGCGTTGCATGCTACTTTACCGACAAGATTGAACAGCTAAGGAAAGAATTCTCCCCACTTTGCCTTTCTCTTTCTCAACCACACATAGATCATGCCTTTCCTACTCTTCAGACTTTCTTCCCGGCTACTGAACAATAGATGGCTGTGCTTTTCCTTTCCTCTCGTCCCACCATTTGCCCGCTTGATCCTGTCCAATCTCACCTTATCATATCTCTTTCCCCTTGTCTAGTGCCTTCCTTAACACACATCTTCAACTGCTCTCTCTTCTGGCGTTGTCCCTGCTGACCTTAAACATGCCACTGTTGTACCTATCCTGAAAAAACCTCTCTCGACCCATCCTCCCCCTCTATCGTCCCATATCCCTGATCCCTTTTTCCTCAAAGCTTCTGGAAAGACTTGTCTTTACCCATATGTATCTCTTCCTCAATTACAACTCTCTCCTTGACCCACTTCAGTCAGTCTTCTGAGCCCTCCACTCTACTGATACTGCTCGTATCAAAGTTACTAACGACCTAATCCCAGTTAAATACAAAGGTCACTACTCCATACTAATTCTTCTTGACCTCTCTGCTGCCTTTGACACAGTTGATCATGCTCTCCTTCTTCAAACTCTTCAATCACTCGGTCTCTGACTCTTCCTCTCATAGTTTTCCTCTTATCTTTACCAACGCTCATTCATTTGTCCTGTCTCTCTAAAACTGAGCTGCTCCTCCTAATGATTTTCCGCTCACACCTCACCCCTCTGTCAGTACTTACATTGGCTTCCTGTATCCTATAGGAGTCAATTCAAAGTGCTAACCCATACCTATAAAGCACTGAACAATTCTAACCCCTCTTATATCTCTTCACAGATCCATAGGTATGCCCCTTCTCGGTCTCTCCACTCTGCCTGTGACCTTCTCCTGTCCGCTGCTCGCACCCATAAAGCCAACTCGTGCTTGCAGGACTTCTCGCTGACGGCTCCATTCCTATGGAATAGCCTGCCTCCTGCCATCAGACTCTCCCCTAGTCTTCAATTGTTTAAGAAGTGCCTTAGAACCCATCTCTTTAGGAAACCTTATAGCCTCCCAGACTAACCTCTACCTCACATACCTGTTCTTTGGTCTCTCCTAAAGGGCAGCACTTTACTCTCTCTGCTTCACTCCCACCTTATTTGATTATTTCCTGTCCTATTGTGTTTTGTATCCCACCTCCTATAGACTTAAGCTTATTTGAGCAGGGTCCTCTTCAACCTATCATTCATGTAAGTTTTCTTTTAATTGCCCTATTTATAGTTAAATGCCCCCCTCGTATAATATTGTAAAGCGCTACAGAATCTGTTGGCGCTATATAAATGGTAATAATAATAAAAATTATTATAATATTAATAATAATAATAATTTTATTTCTTGTTATGCTGATAAATAAATAAAGAGCTTCTGCAGTCCTACCTCCAGCCAAGATGATACCGGGTGCCCAGCCACACTGTGATATAAAAGTAGATAAATACTGGCACTCCTGGATTTGTACAGCACATCGCTTTACTGTCACAAGATTGCTCTCGTCACAGGTACAATGGTTGATGGTTTGATTATTTTCTTTTACTATGTCCAGTGGCGTACTAAGGGGGGAGCGGGGGGGGCGGTCCACCCAGGGTGGGGGGTGCCATGACCAGCCCCGCCGGCCCCCCCCATGCTGCAGCCGCCCGAGCGCTCTGTAGAGAGCCTCAGGCGGCTGCAGCTTTGCCCGGGCGGTGAGTCTATGAGGGCGGACCGCACCGCCCGGGCGCAGCCTGAGGAGAGGGGCTGACAGGAGGGAGCGCTCATCGCTCAGCGCTCCCTCCTGTCAGCTTCCTTTGCTGTAGCGTGGCCGAGCCCTGCAGCATTGATAGTCTGACGGGTACAGACAGTGTGCACTTCCTGTTAGTCCGGCCGGGTACAGGAAACAAAAGCTCCCTGTACCCGCCGACTATACAGGGCTCGGCCACGCTACAGCAAAGGTAGGGG